GGGGCACAGCGTTCGATGGGGATTCCCTATGGGGGGGGGGGGTCGTATTTGGCCGCCAAAAGGGGGGTCGTATTTGGGCTGGGAAAAATTTATTTTTATAGTTGATTTTTCTCGCTTTGCGGACGTTTTGGAGGGGGGTCGTATTTGGTCGTTGTTGGGAGGGGGGGGTCGTATTTCTGGCTAGGAGTTATGTGGTTCACTTCATGAGTTTTATGAATTTTCTGACATAGACTCCTGGCTAGAGATCATAGTAAGAACTACTTTTTATGCCTTACGCCCTCCCGCACTATGATCCCCCCCCCCCATCGCATACCAACTTCTCTCTACGCACCAGGTGTCCAAAGACGAGCCCTCACTCCCCACACTCCACACGTGCGCCATAAACGGTGCAGCGACATCGATCAACCAATTGAAGCAATGCCGGGGCGGGCGTCGTAAACACGCTAACCAAAATCCCCATTCGAATGCTGTGTCCTGTGGAGAACGGGACCGGCACCGCGCTAGACCCTGCCCCCTGACGCTTCCCAGTATCCGCAGCGGAAACGACGTAGACATGTTGGAAGTGATGAATGTTTGATCATTTTGAAATTCAAACATTGCTCAATAAATTCGCCAAATGGGTGCGGTATCCTGAATGAAAAACGTGTGGAGCCGTCGCGTGACGGGGGAAGGGCTCGTCCAGTACAGCTCATTTTTCGCTGAATTGAGTCGGGGTGTGTCAGCGGATCATGGGTCTGTCTCGGCGCCAGCCCGTTCTCCAGATGTTTGCGACTTTGGTCGTTCATAAGTGGTGGAAAAGGGGCTGGCGTGCACTAAACTAACACGCTCTGATTGACTTTGGTAGGTAACTACAGTCGTCATCCTTGCACTTGATAGTCAATGTCAGTGCGGCTGCGTGCGGCGCGGTCGTCAGCACCCGTACTGCACCAATCGTTGAACCAGAGAGTGACATTACTGTATTATATCCTTCGTGTTACTCGTTTTCTATCACTTTTTGTCGCATACGCGTTTCAACGAAAAGGCTGAGAAGGCTTCAAACAGTGTGCACGCTCCTTCTCGCCGACACGCCCCTATCAAGTGCAAGGATGACGACTGTACTTCATCCGTCTTCTTGACAGTTTTTGCAATTTGTTACTTGCTATGCAGCATTTTCCCGTAACCTCGACGTAAAATATTTATTCTAAACGAAAGACGAAAAATTTGATAAACTGCTAGTATATTTTTTTTTCAATAAGTGAATCACATTTGACATTATCGAGCGAATGCTGAGGTTGACTGTCGAAGGAGCAACTGGCTGCCTACTTTTTGTCCCATATTTTTTTTTTGTCCCATATATCGTTCGAGAAACTCGGAATGCTTCTTGAGAACGTTGCTTACACTTTCTTTTCTGAAAGTTCTTCCGTATGAAAAAGTTTAAAAGTGTACACAGTAACCATGTGAGTGATAATTCCAGTAATGTACACTATTGCAGGGAACTCCTGATCATAAGAAGGGACGAGATTAGCGTCAGGAACAGTTTCGGGCTGATTGAGTTCATATTCTCGGTTCTGAAAAAAAATTCTTGCAGTGTTGCTAGCTGCGGATGAAGAGAACTGTTAGGGGGCTGAGTTTGGCTGTGTTTCTTTGCGATAGCGTCTATCAGCGTCCACTAGCGACGACTAGCGTTTTGAGCGTCCTGCTCCGGCAGTGTCAGCAACTAGGAACTTATAGATATCGGTCTAGCTTCTGAGATTGCGTGTGCAACCGCTTACACTACACCGTTCATCAAATAGCCTAGTTCTGTGCTTTAGCAGCTGTGTGGTGCGGTTACACGCGCTGCAATCTCATGACGCCTAATCCAGCTGTTTACCGCCCTCCTACTTCCCCATATTCTCTACTCCCGTTCGCTGGTGAACGCTGCAGGACGCTGGCAGAGCGTGGTGATCGAATATCATATACCTTCGAGTCTCTGACCCGCGTGCTCGACCCCGCGTTCTCCAATCAGCTGTCGAAGCGCAGCAGCTGGCGCAAAACGACTGATGTGAGCGATATGATGCAGTCTTGTCGCCTACCAGGAGAAAATAAGGACAAAAGACGGGCTGGAGCTGCGCCAGCGATCCCTTCTTGACGCACTCCATCATCTTCATCGAATAAGCTTGTAGGCGTCCTAGTAGTAAACACTACTGTATACTACAGACCTAAAAGGGCAGTCGAAGACACGGCTGAAGGAGAAATTGAGGAGGAATGTTTCCTTAATTGGATGGACGAGTGACGCGCATAAATAAGGAACAAAGACTAGTAATGGTAAAACCGCTCAGATAATCAGCGAGGGATGTGCCTTTGAGCCCGTTCTGAGCTACACCGCTATAGGGAACAAGAAACTGTACTGTTAATTACAATCGCTTACTTCCTGCCATGTAGCACCCTATCTACAGCAGTGCTTTTATGGTGAAAAAAGAGATGACCTACCACGTTGTCCACAGTTCGAGACCTAGACTTTGATAGCTGATCTCGAAGGTTCTCCATTTCCAAACATTCCTCCATAAGAGAAATCTCCAATTCTTGTAACTGGAATGATTTGTTCAACATTTTCTCAGTTGAGTATAGCGCTTCTTTTCTTACTTGTCTTGTTTTCAGCTCATAGTGCCTCCTCATCTTCTCAATCTGACTTTCAGCCGCGAGAATGTTGTCCGCTCTTTGCTGCAGCGCGGTGGCCTCTTCCTTCAACCTTCGCACATCCACTGAACGTTTTCTGTAATAGTCCACTACAAACTGTCTTACAGTAGTTTCCACTGCAGGCGTTGGAGTGTGTCAGGAGCGTGGATTTGGCGCGGCGCCAGGCCGTTCTCTACAGAGCACATCATTCGTTGGGGATTCGAGTCGAGTCTGTACGACCCCCCCTTTATTTTTTTTGGCGGGGAGGGGGGCGAAGGGTTGGTGATACGACCCCCCCCCTCGGCCCTCAGTATCCTCGTCATTGAAATCGCTAGATCGTGCGAGCGGGGGGGCGCACACATAGTACCCATGAAACAGAGAAAAATCACAAAGTCAACCTCTCCTTATAACGCCAAACGTAATACGACCGCCCCCCCTTCCCCCTCCCAACAATGACAAGTTACGCCCCCCCCACTTTACAACGTCCGTGAAGCAAGAAAAATCGACTATTGAGAGGAATTTTTCCCAGCCCATATACGACCCTGCCTATTGTGGATTCCTCAACAACGTGTGCCCTGGCTCTCTAATAGTGGTTTCAGCGCCAGCTCCACCCCCTTACACACCCCAGCTTCTGCTGCTACCATACTCTCTAGCACCGTCCGCTCCCAACCCCTCGCCCACCCCTCCAATCTTAGCCAGGGCTAGGACGTTTCTTGAGGCAGATTACTGTCGCCGTCTTGATTTAACACTGCTCCATCTAGAGTATGATCCTGTATTGTTTTTACTCACCTCCTCTTGCCGCTTATCCCCAAGGCACATCACTGGTTGGGGACTTTGGTTATGTCCGTCCACCCCCCCCCCCCCCCTAGTTTCCAGCCTCTGATGAGTTGGCAAGCGGTGAGGGAAGATATTAGTATTAGGTTGTCCGGAAAGTTCTGCAGTTTTGTGTTACTATTTTTTGCACATTCATTGCTGATTAAAAACTCATTCTCCCTTGCGTCTCAGTAGTACATCCTGAAGAGAATTCTTTGCGCTATCTGATGGTATAACTGCGTTTCACCACTGCTTACATGAACCCCCTTTTTTAAGCATTTTATTCAAAGTTAATAAAGAGAACGTCGGACGATTCTTTTCTTCAGACTATAAATTGGGCGCAATTCACGCAACTCGAAACAGCGCAACCAAATTCAACCAAGTGTGGGGGCTTAATGGCATGCGGCAATGGATTGTTCAACAAATTTCGTTCTGGAGATTTCAGCCTTGAAGATGAACCTCATAGCGGTCGACCTAAAGCAATATCTGACGAGGATTTTAGGGGGATTTTGAAGGCTGACCCATCCCAAACAGTTCGAGAGATTGCAGAAAAGCTAGGCGTTGGCAAATCCACTGTTGCAGATGGTCTGGAACGCATTGGGAAGGTGAAAAAACTCGACAATTGGGTGCCCACAATCGGAGTGACCGGCAGGAATCGGCCATCTCGAGGTTCCTCATTGCTTTTGCGCAGCAGAACGACCTGTTTTTGGACCGAATTGTCACCTGTGATGAAAAATGGGTCATGTATGATAACAGGAGACGTTCCGGACAGTGGTTGGATTTCGACGAACCACCGAGGTAATTTTCAAAGCCGAACCCTCACGAAAAAAAGATTCTGGTCACGGCTTGGTGGTCATCGGCTGGTGTGGATCCACTATAACTTTTTATCACCAGGCCAAACCATCACAGCAGAACCCTACTGTGAAGGAAATCGACGAATTGTACCGAAAATTTTGTCAGATGCAGCCAACACTATCAAAAGAAAGGGTCCGATTCCTTTGCATGACAACGCCCGCCCACATGTTTCACAAATCACTATCCATAAATTGAACGAATTGGGGGTTGAAGTTCTACCACACCCACCATATTCTCCAGACCTTTCACCAACCGACTGTCACCTTTTCAGACATTTTCAGAACTTTCCTGCTGAGAAATACTTCATCAAACAGGACCAGGCAAAAAAGACCTTCGCAGATTTCGTGGATTCTCGACCACCCAGTTTTTCTTTGATGGGATTTCTCGGACTTGCTATGCACATTGCCAAAAGTAAATTGCGCTGATTCGAATGGTGCTTATTTGGATTAAATCCGATGAGTGTTAAGAAAGTTATGATCGTTTAAAGTTAAACACTCAAAACCTGCAGAACTTTCCGGACAACCTAATAGTTAAGCTGAAATAGGAAAAGCCGCGAAATACCACAACCAGGAAAAAATTTCTCTGAGCACCGCAAAGGCTACCAAGGCGAATACGACCCCCCCCCTAGCGCGGAAGAAGAAAAATCAACTATCAAAAGAAAGTTTCTTAGACCAAATGAGGCGGCACGGCTCCAAGCGACCAAACACAAGGACCCGGGCGATTCTATCGTCGGCAAGTCACATCGCGTCGCGGCGTCTCGCGCGGCGGCGCGGTGCGACAATTCCGGAGTTGCATTACCGACATACAAATGAGTCTCGAAGACCGCGTATTCACAAGTTCCGAAAAGCCCAAAATTGGATCAGTAATTTTGAGCAAATATCGTGGGGAACCAGTCTTAACACTCCCTTTTACTTTTGAATGCGGAAAAAACAATCATTGATCATCATAGGAAAATGGGAAAAGCAGTACAGGATTAACATAAACAATATGGCTTGATGATCATTTTAACAATTTGAACGAGCACGACGCAGCAGGACTCGTACGCGGCGCCCACCAGCGCGGCGACCTACTTATCATCGACGATAGAATCGCCACACACCCCTCGTGTTTGGGTGTGTTGGCGGAATCTATCAGTCGATGATAAGTAGGTCGCCGCGCCTGGTGGTTGCGCCCGTACGAGCTCCTGCTGGCAACAGTTGCTCGTCAAAACTTAAAATGATCATCAAGCCACATGTTTATCTTAATAATGCCTAAAAATAAGTAATGTACAAGACCCCCCTCCCTGTTGGGAAATCCCAAACCATGATGTGCCCTGTTTACCCCTGTCCAGTGAGCGGCTCTTTCTTCCTTCTTCATGAACTGATAATGAAAGCAGGCGACCTGAGCCTGAATCGGTATCGTCTTTTGAGATAGTGGTACCTTTACCCGGGTGCCGCCGCTCTCACTCTCCTCGAAATGTTAGAACTACATCAGTGTAGCTGTACTATCAAAAATAACACCTAATCGTTTCGCAGCGAGTTACTCTTCTAAACGAGACAACTTCATTAAGGTTTACATTGACGGCCAGTAATCGTTGAGAGCTTAAATCCATTTGAAAACTGCATTCAATCTGCGTTCAGCGCCGAGCACTCACATTCACTATATTAAAGCGATCTACCTCGCATCAAAGTTTCCGCTATTTCCCCGTTTCCTGGAGACCGCCATGAGACCACCCTACGAAAAAGGGGATCGCTTTTCGATAGTTGTCGGAGTGTGCAGTGGAACAGACTATGTAAAAGTGGATTGTTAAGTCAAGGCTTACCCATGGAATTCATTCTTCTCTTGTTCGAGAAGCTGTCGTTCAGCACTCATACGAGCAAGGAGATCGTGCTGTTCGTGGAAAAACGCGGACTGCAAAGGTGCTGATATCTGATTCAAAAAGTCAAATCAAGCCACAGTCATACTGATCGCATGGGTGGAGACAGAGAACCACTATGCTTTCCCTCATTGGTGCGTCCCACCTCTTCGAAGTCATCGAAGGAAGCGCATCCCAAAGGAGAGATGCAGTGGTTGACTACCCCATTCCGCCCATTAAATCAGTTTGAAGTGTGCCTCGAACCAAAATTGCTATCAATAAACTATTTCACCAAAGGCTTGTTTAGATACCTTACAAGAAACATACGTAAAGATTTGAAAACGGATCAAAACTCCTAAAACCGGGCA